GCGCGTGCACCACAACGGCCGTTCGGTTACCCTCAACGCGCTACTGGACCCATGTTCTGACGCATCATTCATCAGTAAAGCAGCTGCATCCGAGATCGAATTCAATGGAACGAGCCAAAAGTTTGAGCTGGGAACGGTGACCGGCACACAAGACGTCACTATGAAAGCAGGTTCTGTGAAGTTATCCAGCCTGCACAGCAGTTATGAAGCCGCTCTGAACGTGTTCGTCATACCCAGTTTAGACGGAGCATCTGTGGGCATAAACTGGAACGACGCTAAGAAGAAGTGGGCGCATCTGCGACACATCCAATTCCCGGAGATGTCAAGAAGTCGTGGGGTCGATCTGCTGATAGGAATCAGCGCCGATACGATGCCCCTCTTCGTGCCACTGGATACTGTTCCTGGCACGACCGGAGAGCCAGTGGCAGTGCTCACACCGCTCGGTTGGACAGCGTTCGGCTGTATCGAAAGAGCAGCTGAAAACACCAGTGAAGATGTGTCATGCCTGAAAAACATGTCAAACTTTGCAAAAACCCTGCGAACACATGTGAAGAAAAGAGTGTTTGAAGATGAGGTCCAGATCATGCAGTCAATGACTGACTTGGAACTGATGCAGGTGAAGTCAAGCGAAGAGCATCTTCTCTCACGTGAAGAACAGACTGCAGTTGAGAAGGTTAAGAAGTCTCTGAAGTACACGGGTAGTCGGTACGAAGCAGCAGTGCCATGGCGCAATGAAGAACCGTCACTCGAGAACAACTACGGCATGGCGATGAGTCGACTCGTGAATACAGAACGATCTCTTTTAAGGCGGTACGACGAAGATCTTCCAAAGAAGTACAATGATGTAATTGAACAGTACGTCCACAAAGGATATCTAACAGCAATCACAGACGAGGAGCACGGACAACTCGAAAGTAAAGTGTGGTATCTACCACACTTCCCAGTCGTTAGAAACGACAGATCGACGACGAAGGTCAGAGTCGTTTACGACGCAGCTGCCAAGTGTGGAGACATCAGCCTGAACTCACAACTGCTCCCCGGTCCATCTCTCTACAGTGACCTGACGGAGACACTCGTCGGATTTCGTCGACATCCAGTCGCCTTAATCGGAGACGTATCTGAAATGTTTCTCCAGGTGGAGCTGGCGCCGGAAGACAGACGATATCACAGAATACTCTGGAGAAACATGAGAACAGATGAAAACCCAACAATATATGAAGCAAATCGCTGGATATTCGGAAATGCTGCCGCTCCTTTTGTTGCTCAGTACGTGTTAAGGGAGCACGCTCTAAGACGGGCGGACGAATATCCACTTGGAGCTGAGGCCCTCACCAGCATGTTCTACATGGATGACTGCATTGCCTCCTATGAATCCAGCACAGTAGCCGCGGAGGCAAGAAGACAAGTAGCTAGGGTACTGCAAGAAGCTGGAATGAAGATAAGAAAGTGGATGTCAAACCGTGAAGAGGTGATGAGCACCATTCCTGAAGAAGACCGTGCGAATGAAGCTGAACATATCATTGAAGAAAGGAGTTCAGCCTCCACCAAAACGCTGGGCGTTGTCTGGTCGACAAAAGAAGACCGCTTGTCCGTCGATTCTTCAAGACAACGCTCGACTGAGATTCTCACCAAGAGAAGCTGCTTGAAGGAGATGGCAGCAGTCTTCGACCCTCTCTGCTTGTTCTCACCATTTGTAGTACGATCGAAGATGCTGTTCCAAGACACATGGGCCGCAGGCGTGGACTGGGATGATCCACTAACAGAAGACCTAGAAGGCAAGTGGAAAGAGTGGCTCTCTGAGCTCGGTGACCTCGGCAGTCTTTCAGTCCCAAGATGCCTGCATCCATATGAAGGAACACCAAAGCAAGAAATACACGTCTTTTGCGACGCATCAGAACAGGCTTACGCAGCAGCAATTTACGTAGTGTCTGAGTATGGTGGCGAGCGCTCCTCACATCTAGTTCTTTCACGTGCTAGAGTCACACCACGGGCAAAGCAGCACACCATTCCACGCTTGGAACTGATGGGGGCACTTCTCGGAGTACGTCTTGTGAAGAAAGTTTGTGAAGTCCTTAAGATACCAGTTGATGACGTTCACTTCTGGTCCGACTCCATGGACGTCTTGTGTTGGCTCCGAAATGAAGTTCGCCGCTTCCAAGCATTCGTGGCCCATCGTATCTCTGAGATCAGAGAGATGACCAAGCCTGACCAGTGGCAACACGTACCTGGTGTCGAAAACCCAGCCGACCTGCCAACGAGAGGTCTGACGATAGAGCAGCTGCGCGTCAATGAACTTTGGTGGCATGGGCCGGCCTACCTGTTGAAAGGAAAAGATCAGTGGCCTCTGAAGAAAGAGTTCAACAAAGAAGAGCATGATCAAACGGAGTTCAAGAAACAAGCACCTCAGAAAACAGTGCTGGCAACTTCTGTTCCAGACATGCCAGACGAATTCCGTCTTCGACCAGAGAACTTCTCTACATGGCGCAGACTAGTGCGTGTAACCGCTTGGGTGTGGCGATTCATCCAGGCGGTGAGGTGTAGAGTAGAACCAGCAAGTGAAGAACATGAAGTCCAAGAAGCTCAGAGAGTAGAGCTAGACCCAGACGAACTGCTGAGAGCCGAGAAGTTCTGGATACGTCAAGTACAAGAGGAGGCGTACGGTTCTGAAATCAAAGAACTACGAAGAGAGAGCGAAGTAACAGGGGGAATCTCAAGCAAGAAGTCACGTAAGCAGAGCTCGATCAAACAACTTACCCCTTTCCTGGATGAAGATGGAATTTTGCGAGTCGGAGGCCGGCTTCAGAAGTCTGAGTTGGCGTTTGATTCAAAGCATCCGGCTATCTTACCAAGGAGACATCACATCAGCAAGCTGATCATTCGACAGCACCATGAGGACGCAGACCATGCAATGGGGACGGAGCACACTCTGTCCGAAGTCAGACGTCACATCTGGATACCAGGAGCCCGTCAACTCATCAAGTCAGTGGTGAGAAACTGCATCGTCTGTCAAAAGGGCCGCAAGAAACCGGAAGCACAGCTGATGGCTCCTAAGATCGGCAGTCAAGTTTGTCCATCGTTTCGAGCGTTTGACAAATGCGCAGTAGACTATGCAGGTCCATTCGAAACCAGACAAGGAAGAGGCAAGACACGACAGAAACGATACTTGTGCCTGTTCAGCTGTCTACAAACAAGAGCTGTTCATCTCGAGATGGCCTATGGGCTAGACACGGACAGCTTCATCAGAGCTCTCATGAGATTTGTATCCAGAAGAGGCAAACCGTCTGAGATCACATCCGATAACGGCAGGAACTTTGTCGGAGCCACGAAGGAACTGAAGTGCTTGGTAAGAAGCATTGACTCAAGCAAAGTGCAGGAAGAGCTGTCAAAGCATTGTATCAGGTGGCAATTCACCCCACCAGGAGCTCCCCACTTCAACGGCGCGTGCGAGGCAATGATCAAGTGCGCCAAGCGGGCTCTGAAAAGAACACTCGAGAGGGCCGATCTTACCGATGAGGAGCTTCAAACTGCCTTCTGCCGAGCCGAGGCACTGCTGAACACCAGACCAATCACAGTCGTCTCAGCTGACGCCAACGATGAGAAGCCACTGACGCCAGCAGACTTCATCTTGGGGACGGCTAGCATCGAGACCTCACCGGCATCACAGGATGACGCTACAACTCTTCGGCAGCGCTGGAAACGGCTCCAGCAACTATCCATAGAGTTTTGGAAGCGTTGGCTTCGAGAATATGTACCAGCTCTCCAGGCGAAGTCAAAGTGGTTGAAGCCTCAGACCGACTTGAAATCAGGCGATTTGGTCCTGGTGATCGACGCAAATACCCCGAGGAGTCAGTGGCCACTGGGGCGAATCGAGGAAGTGTTACCGGGGAAAGATGGCCACGTGCGTGTGGCTACAGTGAAACTGCACAATAAGGTCGTGACGAGACCAGTCGTGAAGCTGATTCACATCGATGTGCTCCAGTGAAGTAGTAGCCAGTAGTCAAAGTAGTGGAAATATGAAAGTGATACCTCTATGTAGAATTGGTTGAATTCGTGTCAATTCAAAGTCGAGGGGGGTGTTACAGAGGTTCTTTTATCACACATGTCGCGTGCACATATGTTTTGTGATGATTATGGTATTGAGGTCGGGCAAGACGAGAGAACGAGGGTGAAGAAAATATATAGAAAAATGAGAACGAGGCCATTAAGTTGTTTTAAGAAAGTTAAGCGAAGTTAAGATAAATAAAGCATTAAGTTACAAAGCTAAGCGTAACACAACGCGAGGAAATAACCATTAAGACTATCCGAACAACGTCTATAAACTACGTCTTCTCTTGTGACAAATCATATATAGGGGAAACCGGGAGGGGCTTAGACGTTAGATTAAAGGAACATAAGCGGGACATGCGAAACAACGCAGAACATAGCGCGGTAGTAATTCATGCTCAGAAAACACATCATTTACCAAGATGGGGCGGGGCGGAAATCATAGCATTATGTAAAAACAAAGACAATCGGAAGGCGACAGAGGCGGCATTTATAGCAATGAACGAAACGATTAATATTAGGGTGGGTTCGATGAAATGGGCAAAACCAGCGGCGATGTATAGTTTAAAGAAGACGCGTCATTAGTTTGTATAAGTACCTACTTGTTCATGATCGTTCTGTACAAATTTGTTGTTATCCATGTGTCATATGTATGTCAGTGATCTATTTTGCTATCATTTTTCGTGGATATTCTCGTACAGGTGGATTAGTAGCGAATATGTCATATGCATGAATTTTTAAAATCAAGACGATTGCACTGTGACGAGCTCGAATGTTTGTGTGGTTTGTGTGCTATATCTTGTTTTCTCTGTGATTATGTCATGCTGATGAAGATTTATTAATCGAAACGCGTCCATGCACTATTTGTTCCGTGTTTTTCAGAAAAGAATATGAAACGTGGTACCGGCCCATACCTCCCGGGTCATGGCCCATACCTCTCGGTGTATTTTGATGGATCGAAAAAGCGCATGATTTATTGAAAGATATCTGGAGACAAAATAGTTGATCCCAGATGCCTAGTATCAGGCACACTTTACAGGCGAAAATCACGTACACAGTGAAAAACCGGGTCTAGCCACTGCCCACTGGAAGAAAATTGCCTTTTTACAAAACCGGCCCATACCTCCCGGGTCTCCCCTACATACAACGCCGAACAGCAGTGCAGCATCAGCAGTAGGTATATACAGCAGTACAGCGTCATAATATGGTATTAAATTTATGCATACATAGCTCATCCCACAGGGACAAATAATGAACGCACGCGCCATCCAAGTTTCCTGGCCCTGCTCGTGGGCAAAAACTTTCCTTCCCTCCCTTTATCCCGATAGACTCGCGGCCAATATTGGCATGGATACCAGATTGTCCTATCAATCTCTGGCGTCATTTTCTGTCAGTCACCGAAGCCATACTCAATCAATTACTGATGTCATATTGTGTCAACGACTGACTTCAATTTCTTCAGTGCGCTGACGTTTATTCCATCAGTCACTGACGCCATATAAGGTCAGTGAGTGACATCGCATTGTCTGTGTCTGACTCCCATATTGTATTAGTCACTGACGTCACATTATGTCAGCCATTGAGGTCATTTATTGTCACTCACTGTCTCACTGACGCCATATTATGTAAGACGACGTGTGATCCGAAAAGGACTGGAGCGCAGTCAGTGCCGGCTGAGGTGGCAGCCAGGGGCGGGCGGTCAGGGCCGGCTGAGGTGGCGGCCAGGGGCGGGCGGTCAGGGCCGGCCGAGGTGGCAGTTGGTAACGGTGCCCACCGTGGTCTGGTAGTTGAAATCACACGTGACCGCGTTGTTCTCCCAGCTCTGCTCGCCGACCTTGTATTCGCCGTTGATGACCACCCGCAGTCGGTACCTGCCAGGGTCTATGTCAGTTACGTCAAGCCACTGGCAGTCGATATTGTGCGCGTAACTGTCGGCACACCCGACGCTGATGCCTTGGTCGCCGAAGTTGGCGCAGCTGAAGCCGGGCTCGACCCCCGCAGAGCAGCTCGAGTCCTCGAGGCAGAAGGACGCCTTGTGGCCCTCGGCGACGCGGCGGCCGCTATCGTCGATGACTTCGTACGTGGAGAACACCTCCATGCTGTGGTAGTGCATGTGACAGGCGTGCCACTCCCAGGCCTCCTTGGGCAGCAGCGGCCGAAACGCCGCGCTGCCTCTGTTCGCCACCTTAGTGGTGAACCGCAGCAACCGACGCGGCATCACGTGCCAGTCAGCGTTCTCCTTACGAATGCGATAGGCAGACGCGGCCAAACAGTTCTCCTCCATAGCGCACTGCAGGTAAAAGAGCTGTCGGTCCTCCAGGTAGGCCGACTGCATCATGGCCTCGTGGTCGGGCACCAGGTCGGCCATCTCGGACTGACAGACCACGGTGGCGATGTTTGTCTGCGGGTCGCCCGGGCAGAACAGCTGCTCGTCGTGCCGGCAGTTGATGAGGACGCTCTCGTTGCCGATACACTCCAAGCCGGACATCACCTTCGTGGAGCCGTTGCCACCGAAGAAGCCCGTCTGCAGAGCGGCTGCGGCGTAGCCCAGCCCGAGTGTGCGGCACGCCACGTTGGCGGTTAGCAGACTCCAGCCGTCGCCGCAGACCAAGCCCCAATCATCATCGCCGATCTTGAGCTCCAGGCGCCCCTCGGAGGGGACGCGCCCTCCACGGAGTCTGACCTTTAGCCGGCCCTTTGTTGTGTGCCACAAACTCGTCTTGGGCACGGCCGGCTCGGCCGTCGTCAGAGCCGGTGCCTTGGTGGCCTTTGCGTCCTCGAGTTGGCCGCGGCAGGAGACGCCGGCCAGCTCGCTGGGTGCACAATCGTGCTGTGCCCAGCCGTCGAAGCGACACTGGCTCAGGCGGCGCTCGTTGCCGAGGCAGTACATGTTGTCCATCCAGAACGATATCTCGCCCTCTGGGTGGCCGTAGAAGCCGTCATGGGTGGGCTTCTGCGCCGTCTGGTAGCCGAGCTGCTGGCACGCGATCTCCGCCTCGGCCATGTCCCACTCGTCATCGCAGATGTAGCCCCATCGGCCGTCGTGGAAGATTTCAACGTTGCCCTCGAAGGGCCCGCGGCCGCCGCTGACACGCAGCTGGCCCTCCACGCCTGGCTCAGGCGTGGTACTGACGGACGGCCTCTCGGTTGAGTGCTCCAGACGCTGAACTAGGTAGGTTAGGTTACTCCTCGACGCGGGGCCCAATGTCGGCGCCGTCGGCAGCTGCGGAGGCTGTGTGGCCGGCGAGAGCGCGCTGAACCCGGGGGCCGGTGCCACCGGCCGGCCAGCGGGTGGCGTCGGCGTGGCCGGCGCCACCAGGGCAGCCACATTGCTGAGCGCCACCGGCACCTCAGCCCCGGCCTCCAGCTCCAGCACGTCGGGTTCCACGCTTGTCTCGTGGTCTGCCTCCAGTCGTCGCTGCCTCTGCTCCCGCAGCCGGCGAAGCCTGCGCAGTCGCTGGAGCCGCTGCAGCGCGCCGCCGGTGAGCCGCTGCCGGGCCAGGGCGCCGGCGACCGCCGCCAGCACGGCCGCGCCCACCACCAGCCACACTGGACACCGCATGGCCGGCGCCGACGGCCGAGCGGCGCGCACTGCCGGCCGTCGGAGCCGACACGCCGCGCCTCCGGTCTCCCCCGCCCCCGCCTCCGCCCCGCCCTGGCAGCGCACTGCTGGCAGCCACCGGCCGCTGACGTGACTGAGTCAACAGGGCGTGTTTTCACCCGGGATGCTCCGTTTAGTGCGAGGGAGGGCGGATGCGGCCAGTCATCGAGTGACGTGGCCAGCTCAGAGCATAGGGTAGGGTGGGGTAATCTGAACAGGTTGGGCAATTTGAACATAAAAGGAATAACACAAAATAATGGAAAATCCATAAGTGGCACGACAAAAAGACCAGGGAAGGAAATTATCGTAACTAAAAAGGCTATCATATGAACGGGGTTGAAAGTTTCAGGGAATGAAGATGTTGACACACACTGTAAAAAAATCAATTACGCAAGTAAAAACGCCCAACAACATGTCATTGCAACTTCGTTACAATGTAAAATCTTGCCTCGCGGGGCCTCGCGATGACGCGGCTGGAGGCAACCGCCAACCACTCAGTTTGCTAGGATCCTTCTGGCGGGGCCGGGCGCCGTACGGTGTGCAATGAATGGGCGGGCAGACAGAGATGAGGTACTGAATTTGAAATGACATCATGAGTGAATCGGATGAGAACGTCGGAGAGAGAACGTTTCTAATCGAGCTTGGGATAGGGGAAAAGCGAAAATGTCACGGTCGGTTCAGAGTTCCGACGGGGCCGGGCGCCGTACGGTCTGTAGTATATTTAGGCGGGCAGACAGAGATGAGTTATCGGATTTGAATTGGCCTTACCATCGGCTCTCTGATGGGATTTCAAGACGTTTTTAGTTAAGCTCAGGGTGGGGCACTGGTGGATCCAGGGTAAGGTATTTGGGGTAAATGTTATCCCCCCACAGGCCCACCTCCGGGGCAGCGTCTGAAATCGTTTTTCGAGAATAAAACGAAAATTTAACAACTTTTCTGAGAGAAAATGCATCGATCAAACTGCGCAGCAGTGCGCCATGAATCAGAATCCGATGTTTTGTTTTTTAATTCAGAGAAACCTTTTTAGGATATGCCCCCCCGCAGTGTCCAAGACCGTTTTCTGGATCCGCCACTTAAAGGAAACAGTTCACTTTTAACCCTCGCCCGCACATGGGGGGGGGGTTGCCGCCCCCACCCCCCAGGTAGTCTTTCTGCTCTGCACTCAACATTTTTAGAGCTAGAAGCCTGTTGTTTCGTATAGCTGCTCCTCTATCCTTTCTTGATATCCACTGAAAATTTCAAGTTTCTGTGGTTTTTGGTTTCGGAGATATGACCTTGTTTTTCAGGTCATGCCATGACCCAAATGACCAATTCTCAACATCTTGCGTTGGCTATGAGCCTTGTCAGCTTTTGACCCCTTGCTTTCGGCCTTTTTTGCCAGTCTTACCTCCCACCTATCATGGAACATGTTGTTCGACGATGTACAGATGTCAAGGTCAGGGTCAAGGTCAACCTAGGTCATCTAAAATAATTGCGTTTTAAGCAAGCTGAATTTACTTTTCGTGAAGTTTTTTGACTGCATTTTTGGTAAAAGCTTCTCAGATCATGATTTTATGTAATATGAACACATGAACAATCGGTGCACACATCAGTATACACACAGACACACACACAGACATATAAACACATATCATTGACCTTGACCTAACTTGACCTGAAATGACCTCAGCAGCAAAAACCTGGTTGGGTAGTGTGACAAAGAGGTTCTGGCTGGCTTGGCACCTTACCGCGAAGCTCTATCTCCAACAGGAACGAAATGGCGCGGGGGTGGCAACCCCCCCCCCCCAACATGTGCGTTCTAGGATGGGAATATGGCATGTGCGGGCGAATATATTCCTGCCCGGGGCCCGGATGATTCAATAAATGTCACCGAGGTTTTTTAGCGAAAACTCCGAGGGCCGTTAGGCCCGAGGTGCTTTTCGCTAAAAAAGCGAGGTGACATTTATTGAATTCCCGGCCTTAGGGCTGGAAGGTGTTTCCCATACCTGCCAAAAAGCTCACAACTATAATTGATAGTGACGTCAGCAGCCGTGTGGTTCAACGCGTTTAACCACACCCCTTGAACCACACGGCTGGCAATATTAAAGCACTGCATTAAACTTTGAAAAGTGTGGTACAGTGCACGTGCCATTAAAATGCCTGGATGTCTCGATTTAATCATGCAATGTAGCAGGTATGGGAAAATATATTCCTGCCCGGGGCCGGGATGATTCAATAAATGTCACAGAGGTTTTTTAGCGAAAACTCCGAGGGCCGTTAGGCCCGAGGTGCTTTCGCTAAAAAAGCGAGGTGACATTTATTGAATTTCCGGCCTTAGGGCTGGAAGGTGTTTCCCATACCTGCCAAAAAGCTCACAACTATAGGATAGTGACGTCAGCAGCCGTGTGGTTCAACGTGTTTAACCACACCCCTTGAACCACACGGCTGGTAATATTAAAGCATTGCATTATACTTTGAAAAGTGTGGTACAGTGCACGTGCCGTTTAAATGCCTGGATGTCTCGATTTAATCATGCAATGTAGCAGGTATGGGAAAGGGTTAACATGGGGTTTTGAACTGGAATAGCAGTTCCGTAGCTTGAGCTTAGACAAGCACAAATCAGGAGCTTTTACGGCCCAGCGATCGGATCACCCTAGGCAAAGATATTTCATTTCTCGTCCCGAAAAAAGGTGCCTTGCTGAGGAATGTGTGAGTACAGAACATTTCAACATGACGCAGACTATCGACAGTGGAACAACAGTACTCCTACCTATTGTGTGGTTAGTCGTGTATTCATCCATCGCTGGGCGATACATTATAACAATTCAAAGGATACGAAGAAGCATAATATAAATGTGCATACCTATAATATTATCTAAGGCTTATGCCAGCTTCATGCGCGCAATTACGAATGCTGACGTGCTGGCCTAAACTCATCACCCTCCAAAACTCCAGGTATATATTATTACGAGCGAGCGAGCGCAGCGAGCGAGCGAGTTCATGCTGAATTAAGGGAAAATCCTGAGTATGAGCGGCCGGCCGGCCGTGGGGACGCTCTTCAAAAGCTAATATATTAGGAACGGGACATCCGATTGACAAGCGGTCTTCTTTACTGAATGTGACTTGGACGTAAAAGTTCTGTGGTGTGATGGCCACCATGCGTTCTTGCCAACCACCGCACGTGACGCGTGGTAAAGTTGGACATTTTTTAAGAACCCCCAAAATTGCAACCTCAATAACGGCACAACGGCTGGGCCGATTGGGCTCAAATTTGGTACACGGTTGGGGACCAGTTAGTAGGGTGCCGTGCAAAAGTCAGTTTGGACCCCACTTGCATGTGCGCACGTGCAGAATGCCGCTTCCAGATCTCAGGAACGGCTGGGCCGATTGCGTTCAAATTTGATACACCGCTAGCGACCGGTTAGAAAGGTGCTTTACACAAGCCCGTTGGAAGTACCCTCTCGCCCTTCCGCACGTGCAGGGCTCACTATCTCGCTCGCTCGTTCTTCGCCCAAAAGGCGTTTTACTGGTGATACCAACAAGCGTTTGCGAGCATGAACACATGAATGCATATAAAACTAGCACTATACATACAATGATAACAACATGTTTGGATTCATAATGACAAATAGTATTATAGTACATTTTTGCCACCGACGCATGTTAAAAAAGTTCAGTTAAATTTTTGTATAAAGGTGGCCTGCTGAAAGGCTGAAGCGCGAGAGACGGTTAATTTCAGTCGACGCCAAAACTCGGAAATGTCTATCAAAACCCATGCATAAAAATACGGCGGTTAATTTCATTATACGGCAGTTTTCTTCTCTTCAAAAGCTCCCTGTTAAACAATGCATTCGATGACTGAAACTTCAATAGAAGTCCGGTCATAGAAGCTTGCAGCTTGGAATAAAATAAATTGCGAAACAGGTTGACAGGTGAATTTTGAAAAGAACACAGCCTTAATGTAATGACTTTTCGTATGCATTTCAAAGAGATGGCTTAGCAGGTTACGCAGAAATTTAGAAGGCAGATTTCGAGGTACACCTAGTTCTCAAGAGCCAGTGAAAAGAGCAATTGAAGATGAATCTTACAAAACGGGAAGAACAGCACTGTCAGGAGCCAGTGTTTGTAGTAAGATCGACGTTTGTTATCATACCTTCATGGATATTGGATGTCAAAACTCAAAACATAGGAAAGAGGAGGGAATGCAACGACATCACATTTCCCCACTAATGAAGACAAAACATGTCTCCGCAACGCCTACTCCTCACTCGCAATTGCTTCGTAGCATCAATGTCTAATAAAAGTAGGTAACAGACGCGTCTCGCATGTTTATTAAGAAATATCTGAGAAATGAGGGATGAATTTCAAGCAAAATACGACATGGTAGGCAATTTACCATTTGTATAGGTATACTGAAACCAAGTTGTAGATTAATTTCGTTATTCGCCCATCGTGTGTTAAAGTCCATTGGCAATAATTTTCATTATACGCCCAAAGCTTTACCCATTTGCTGCCCCCCCCCCCATCTCCCGTGCCACTACTTGATGTCGAAGCCCAAAAGCGAACCCTTTCTCAGAGATGCGTTGGTGCTCGGTGCCAAAAAATTACTATAATAAATTTAATTACCTGGTCCGAATACTATACCAGCCATGATACGGTCGCTTTTCCTCAAGGGTGTTTTCATTGAATATGCTCGCACGCTCGCACATTCAATGCGAAAATTGCACTCATTTCATTCGTGCAATTTTCGAAAATAGCATCCTCACTCCGTTCGGACACTATTTTCGATAAAATAATGTCCTCACTTCGTTCGGACGGGAAAGCGACCGAATGATGTCTGGTATAGTGCTCGGACCGGGCAATTAAATATGTACATAGTATAAAGTTAATTCCTCAGTTATGTTTATGTATTAACAGGCCAAAACGCGCTTCGAATATATCGTCTTTAGTTTGACTTTATGATAAAAACCGTAGTAGTGTATAAAAATCGATATTTGAAAATATGATACTCTTATTACGTGCTATGCAAGTAAAGGTTACCTAGTACCTACATAAGGTAAAATCACACACACACATTACATATCGCACCTACATTCCGACAGCATTAATTTAGACGCCAATTCTGACAATGTGATCTTATTCCTTTTGGGGTTCACGCCCCCTTTCACTTCCAGAACAGCGGCTTCTATGGCAATTCTTCTCTTTCCCAATTTTATATGATACTTTTTGCTCCTCTCCAGTCCGGTAAAGCACCACATTCATCCTGATCTTTCCATGACAGTGATGTCAGCTTGTTTCAAAAAGCTTGCGGTCGTATTTACAGGCTTCGAAGCCTTGCGTGGGTCGTCTTTTCATGTGATTTCTGTGCATTTCTGCTTATTTTTATTGCTTTCTTGTTGCACTTGATAGTAACGCTTTTGGATACTAGAGACCCACTCAAAGGTTATTGTGGTACCGGCTTCGAAGCGTGTAAATACGATCGGAAGTTTTTTTAACGGGCTGACACCGCTGTCATGGAAAGGTCAGAAAAGAAGACAGGAGATATTGTTCGACAGAAAAAGAAGCAGGTAGATACATGAAAATAGCCTCGTCTACAAAATAGCATGCCTAGGATGTAATAAACCGTATTATGGAGAACAGGAAGAGGTTTGAATGCGAGGCTGAAAGAACAAAGACAAGATTTAAAAAACCAAAGAAAAAAGCATAGTCAAACAAAATCATGAATGTGGTGCTTTACCGGGCTGGAGAGAAGCAAAAGTATCTTACAAAATGTAGAAAAGAAGAAAAACATGGCCATAGAAGCCGCTGTTCTGGAAGTGAGAGCGTATGAATCCCAAAACGAATAGGATCGCATTGTCAGAATTGGCGTTTAAATTAATTTTGTTGAAATGTAGTGTAGATGCGATGGATAATGTGTTTTTACTTCATGTAGGTAAGCATATCTTGCATAGCACGTAATGAGAGTGACATATTTTCAAATGTCGATTTTTATGCACAACTACGGCTTCATTCACGTCGGCATGCGAGTAGGTATAGGGACAGACGTGTCAGCTATCAGTATCAGAAAAAGGCGATGACTGAAAATGCGAACTCTTTTGTGGTGGAAAAGAAAAGAGGTCAATGTGTGGATGGAAACAATCGGTGAGTAAACGGTTTTCTTGACCAAAAAAAATGTCAAAACGCAAGATGGCGGATAGGCTTTTATCATACAGACCAACTGAAATATAACTGAGGAATTAAGATAATAACATGGTCAGAATGCCCTCAAACCGAGTGCGAAAAGGAAATCTACCGAGGATGCAGATCATCAATACCTAAATTGCTAATCTTTATATCTAATATCATATATAATCTAATAAATTTCATCACTGATCTCTACATTGTTTTGTGTTGGGTTAGACAGTATCGCATTATAGAGACCAATAAAAATGGTAAAATTGACCTTATGCTCATAAAATCGGAGAAATTAATTGAAAAAGGTCCAGAATATATTTTCGAACTTGGTTCTTCTTCGGTGAAATGAAAAAAAAAACATTTTAATTGATTACAATCATGCTGTAAAGGTCGTTCTCCACGGTACATGTTTTGCGCGTTTTTAATGACGTTTTAACGCTTTTTTGATGTTTTGCGAGTTTTTTATGATCCGGCGTTGATCTGTACCATTAAATTACACGGTGCCATCTCCACGGCGGAAGATTTGTCAAAAATCGAAAAACGCGTGGCTTCATAAAATAAAAAAACTGCAAAACTCGTAAAACGCGTCAGGTTGTGTCATGCAAAACTCGTAAAACATTTGAAAAACGCAAAACTCTCATTTGTAAAACGCGCGATTTTATCCAAACATTTGGATCGAATGAAAGTTTTCCGGTTTTTGACAAGGCTAAGAAGGTAATCCTTCTGCTATTAATACCATTTTACGGTGAAATGGATGCAATGGAAAGTGTGGAAAGCGATGAAACGCAATTTGATTAAGCCAATTATCATGACAAGTACTCAGACAACCATACCAATAACTTCTGTTGCTATTCCGACGATGTGGATGTCAAATAATTACGTAGTGAGTCTATGGATAACAGATATTACGATATCAGATCATTTCAGATAATTGATAAGTAACTGATGTCATAGCGGTGATAGCAATAGGGTAACGTGATGATACCCCTATAACTATCTTTACAGCGAAAATCGAGGGGTTAATAGAAGCCGTGCGCCAGATACCTGCCCTGTGGGACAAGAGGGCCACGGCATACAGCGCACGAAGGGCGGAGAAAGATGTTCTTTCTCTGAAATTGAAATTGTTCTGAAATTGTAATTGTTCTGAAAGACTGACACACTAAAACCGTAAAAAGCGAAAAACTCGCAACACTCGCAAAAGCGTCTGTTAAAAAGCGAAAAAAGCGCAAAACTCTCGTTTGCTAAAACGCGTAAAAACCGAAAATGTTTACACGTGGAGACAGTACTTAAGAAACGTTGTACCATATAAATTATAAGAGACCATTTAAGTTTGATGAGAGAAGCAGCCGTGCCATGGGACTGAGCTGACCCGCCACTGGTCTGAGCTGACCCGCCACTGGTCTGAGCTGACCCGTCACTGGTCTGAGCCGACCCGCCACTGCAACTGGTCTGAGCTGACCCGCCACTGTTCTGTGCACCAGATGGGCTGTTATACGTCAGTGGGATGGCCCGGCCAGCCACTCAGACGCTCATACCGTATACAGTCGCCAAGGCGATCAAGGAACCGACCCGACCCTTTTTCATCGGTGGGGACTATCAGCCCAGATCTGGGCAAACACCAGGTCACGGAAATCTTATATTATGCATTGGTCACGTGACACGTGTTTTATGGTCCATTTAGACCACGGATTTCTAAATCAGTGTTATTTGAGGTGGTTTTCTAATTTCAGCTGAATATAGCGAGTTCAGGACACTTTCAGATCAAAAAGGTCAACTTTTAAAGTTGTAATTGTTCAAAAAAAGGTGTCTATCGGATGCCGTGTAAGCTTAGGAACACGATAGCGCTATTTATAATGGTGTACGATGTCAAAAACGTACTGAAAAATTGATTTGAAGAATATATAACAGTGAAATTTTGAATATAATGCGTATAACTTGGCTATTTTTGAGGATATCGGGCTAAACCTTTCTAGAGTATATCATCAGTATGCGTTCTATCACGTATATTCCTTTTTTGAAAATTCAAGGCAAAAAAGACAAAAAGACAAACTTTGAGATCAACCCGCGCCCCACTTGAGGGGGGAGGGAGAGAGCTATTTAAAGCCCCTCTCGTTTTTCTGCAATTACTTCTAAACCGCTTGGCGTATCGACGCGAAACTTCTAGTACCTTTGGCTGCATCAATTTGACACATTGTGTCAAAACAGGAGCTTGTTAGCTACTTCCGGTCGTCCGAAAATGACGTCAGAGTGACGTTGTGTTCAGCCAATTTTGATGCAAAACATTGAACTACGACAATCGCTCTCAAGAGCTTCATTTTTAAGCTAGATCTTATCCCTTTGCATGAGAAGACTCAAAATATACATTGCTATCAAACTGCTATCTTGGATTTGCAAAATGTAGAAAACTTGGAAAATTATTTATAATTAATAGAATCGCCAGCATTGTGTTAGATGGACACACTTTTAGATCGCACAGAAAAAGCCATGACTATCTCGCTACGTGCCTAGCATTGGCAGAGACCCCGGTTTAATCACGGCATTTTGGCGCGACAACACTTTCCTCAAGCACTTGGACCCACCCCTGTATGTCGGTCGACTTGTCCGAGTGCGCGACCCGCCGGCATCCGTTCACATCTGCCGCCAGGCGGCGCCGAGAACCATCAGGGCGGCCAGCAGGGTGGCGCCGCCGCCGACCCTGCCCGGACCGAGCCGGGCAGAGCCGGCGGAGCTGGGCCGGCAGTGCGGCACGCCGCGCCACTGGCCGGCCAGGCAGGTGGCCACGGAGCGCACCAGCGGCGCCGGCAGCCCGTAGCCAGGCGCGCACCGGTAGCGCGCCATCGGCAGCGCGTCCAGGGCCCCGTCAGCCAGACGGACGGCGCCGTGCTCCACCGGCGGCGGCGGCCCGCACGACGGCGCAGAGGCGCAGTCGCGACCCTGCTGCCCGCCGCCGCACACACACGTGTACGTGTCAGCGCCCGTGGGAAGGCACGTCCCGCCATGGCGGCACGGCTGCCGGTGGCACGGCGAGCGCGTGTGGTGCGCGCCGCACGGGCCCGCGCTGACCCGCACGCTGTCCAGGTGCAGCTGGTCGGCGGCCGCCAGCGGCCCGGCGCTCACACGCAGCCTGTAGCGGCCGGCGGTGATGTTTCGCTGGAGGCGCGTCCAGTCGCGCGCCGCCGAAGACATGGTCAGCAGGCGGTAGCGCTCGCCCTTCGCTTCCAGGCTGAACGCACAGCTGAAGAACGAGTCGGTGCGCATCCGGTAGAAGAGCGAGAGGCAGCTGTCTGTGGCGACCTGGAGCGGCGGGGAGCGCAGCTCGGCCCGGCCGTCCTCGGCGCCGGTCAGCTCTGCGTACCACCGGCCGGCGGCGTGCCCCTCTGCCGGCCGCTGCCGGAGCCGGCCCGCAGTGGCCACGTAGCCACACGCGCCCGGCATCTCGAAGCGGCAGTCGGCGCCCCCGCTCGGGCCCGCCGGCGTCCTTCCGTGCTCGCAGGTGACGTTGAGCAGCGCGTCTGTCTGGCGTCCGTGTGCCAGGTACTGCCAGCGGCCGGTCACCTGCTCGGGGGCGTCGGCCGAGTCGACCACTGCCAGCAGCCGAGACGAGTCCAGCCGCACTCGGTCCGGCGGCGGACCAATCAGCCACAGTGGCACCGGCGCCGCGCCGCCGGCCGCCTCCACACGGTCGAAGTAGAGGAACGTCTCTTGTGCGTCTCCGGCTTTGCGGTACACGGGTCGGTTCATGTGCACGGCGGCCGTCCTGAGAAAGGTGCCCAGCAGCAGGTCGCTGTCCGGCTCCAGCGGCACGCTCACCGTCATCGCTGGGTCGTCGTCGACGACGGGCTCTCTGGGGAAGGCGGACTCAGCGGCGCCGACCAGGCTGCCTCTGAGCGCAGCCGGCGCGCCACGCCCGAACGGCAGGCCGCTGACGTGCAGCCGGCCGGCCGGGCAGCGCCAGGCGGCCGTGACGCAGCGCAGCCGGACGGCGCCGGCGCTCCGCCAGCCGCCGTCGGCCCACAGCTGCCAGCCGGCGCCGGTCAGCGCCGGCGCGCGCAGCAGGCCGCGCGGAGAGGCCGCGTCACCGGCCACCACCGGCCCCGGCGCCGGCTCGGACGGCTGGCCGGCGGCCGACACGTACCAGCTCCGATTGGAGTCCGCGGTCGCGCCGTAGCTGCGCAGTACGGCGCGGCCCAGCTCGTGGCGGTACTGTGTGTCGTCACCGGTGTAAATGCCGCCGAGCGCCGCCAGTCGCTGCGCCGAGCCCGTGTCGGTCACGCTCAGGAAGAGCCGGTTTGTTGGGCACGTGGCGCCAGCACCTGGTGGCCAGAAAAGAGCGCCTGGTCAGTCAGCGGAGCAGGGGCGGCGCCACCGGGGGAGCAGGGGGGAGCAGGGGGGGGGGCAAACATATCTTTTTGCCACCCCTGTAATACTGAAGGCCCTTTTGCTCAAAATCATAGGTCCCTTCTTATCCCCAGACATAGCCTCGAGACGCACCAGCTCCTTTACATATGGAGGCATGCTAACTATGGTTATCTGTTAGAATTGGAGGTCCTCTGTACAAAAAGGGGGGCCGGCCCTAGACAAATAGGAAGCCTTCTGTACAAATAAGAGACCCCTTGGACGATTAGGAGGCCCCTGTACAAATTGGAGGCCATTGGGCAAATAGCAGGCCCGTGGATGATTAGGAGGCCCCCTGGACAAATAGGAAGCCCCCTGGACAAATAAAAGGCCCCTTGTACAAATAGGAGGCCCCTGGACGATTAGGAGGTCCTCATTTGGGCTGTCTTCAACTTTGTCCCACACTGATGAAAAAGGTTACTCCTCAAAAGCGAGTTTACCCGTTTCGCTGAAGTCAAGCTGCCTGGATAAAAAGTCCTACCCTTTCTAGCGCTGTCTGACCCGATAAAAATGACTCGCTTTTGCTACTCTCCCTATGCGATCCAGCAAACGCCGACTATGCGAGTGACTCGCCTGGCGACGCCTTTCAAGAGAGCAGCTGATGCCTCTCAGTCGGGTGGATGACTCGCCTAGCCACTGTCCGGGTACAAATACACCCGCCAGGCGAAACTTTCAGGGGGTTAAAATGACCCTTACCGCCCATCCCCCTCACCCCCCCCCCCCCGCCCACTTCGCGCTGAAATGTAAACAGATTTACTACCGAGCGAGGTCAATACCGAGCTGGGCCCGATGGGGAGGTGGGCCGGGGGGGGGGGTGGCGAGGTCACGGTGCGGGTGACCTGTCAAACAGCCCCGGCGCGGTAGGGCACTGCCACAGGCAAATGGCGGACTCCAGCCGGCCTGTTGCTCCATATCGCGGTGGTGGGCTTGGCGACCGGTTGGCTTGGCTGCTTGGAAGGAAAGGATAATGAGGCATGGGTTTGCTGTGGCCGGTTTATCTACTGTCAACTATGATGCGCCCAAAAGTAATGCAAATGTGATGTTGGTAATGCAGCTGACAATGGAATGCTTACTGATGCAGCTGGCAATGGAATGCTTACTAATGCTGCGAGTGCTGAGTAGCTATAAGGATTAACCCTCGCCCATATTGGTGTTTTTCCTGCCGCGAACGTATAAGGGGGGGGGCCTGTTGGTGTTGGACCCCCCCCCTTGCCGTTTCGCCCCTGATCGGGCTAGCGCTTCACCGAAAGAAACAAGCGTGTTGCCCGTGACGAGAGGAAGCTGATGATGACCAATTCAAAGGTCCAAGGTCATTGGTTGACGTTCCAGGTCAGGTCAATGACCCAAAAGTCGGGAAAATCGAGACCTGCTAGAACGTCGTTAAGTGTGGCTGTTATGGGGTTTTCGGGGTGCTGATAACGAATATCATGCTAGACGCTAGTTTTGATCGCAGATGATGTCTTCATTCGTATAGGCCAGGTCGGGTCAGGTCAGGTCAGGTCAACCAGTAGGGGTCCTGCCGGGTATTCGTTGTAGGTGTCAACCGCCTCTGACAGCTTCGTAACATGTTACGAAGGCACCAAAACTACTTCGTTAACGTTCATATGATTGCTAAATTCAAATTCAGCTCGAAAAACTGGCCTAGAAACATGTAAAACTCGAAAAATGAGCCGAGGTCACAAGACGTCAATGACATGACCTGACCTTCAGGTGACCTTGCCACCCACCCTAATGCATGAGGGCAACATCATACCACATGTTTGAACGCTTGAAACTACGAAGACTGCAAATGCGCTGCTAATGCGAGACGACATACGCCGAATCGCGATTCTGGCCAAACATGGTCTCAAAAAGTAGGTCACAGGTCAAAGGTCATTTGGGGCAGGGTCATGAAATTTTCAAGGAAGGTGTAAAATTGATAGACGCGAGCGTCGCGAAAGTTTCGCTCGCGTTTCGTCGCAAAACTTTACGTTAAACTGAAAGTTTCGTCGCGATCGGCCGCTTTTTACGCGAGTTATTCGCGAAAAACCGAGGGGGTCCGTTCGAACCCCCCTATACGGGCGAGGGTTAAGATTATTTATGCCCTCTTGAAATGCTCATTGAATATAATTCCAGCACTACTGAACGATCGTAGCGTCCGCCAGTTTTTTGATCGGCTGGCGTTTCTTGCGTAGAGCGCCCTTGGGCAAATTATCATCACGCAGGGGACTTTTTATGCTGGTAAGACGGGCCTCTAATGTCAAATAAGTCGCTAAGAGAAGATGGGGAAAAGTGGACGAATGCCACATTTTTGTGCATGAAGTCTCGAGTTAACAAAAGCTCAAAGTTATTATACGTGTAAACCAAAAAACAATATGATCAGTTTATAGAAATATTTGACCCGAAATTAGCTTCTGTTTTGTCTGACCATGATTTTGGGTAAGACCCTGGTCCAACTTGGTTCAACCCAGCCCAACCTGGTTCGGCTCCCCCTTTTTTAATATAAATTTGGCCCGAACCTTTTGAATGGAAGGAATCACAAGGACAGAGTCCCCGCTAAACTGAGCTTGTTGCATTGACCCTGTCCTCTGCCCTCTGATCAAGCAATTCCTGGTCTATGGCAGAACTTAGAGTCCAAATTTCAACGTTCGCACACAGCCGCGCACGGCCGGTCCCCTCACTAACTTCGCCTGGCAGCGGCCTGCCACCAACCCCAACCATACCCGTCAGCAGGCTCAAAAACGTCGAGCACACGTCGCGTTTCGTTTCGAACTCGGACTTTTGCAACCGGGACGTGCGCTCTCACCACACGGAGTCCAACGCTTTACCGACTGAGCTACCGAAACGGACATTTACCTTCGGGTTTTGCCTCGTGACATTGACAGACGTCAGACACTTTGGCCGAAGTTTAGCCGAAACACTGACACTGAGCGAGCTGCGCAGGGCGATAGGTGCTCGTAGCGTTGAGGTTGGGTAACCCGTGGTCTGAATGCGATGTCGTGAGTTCGAGCCCCACTTCCGGGTCTAGTTTTATCTAGACACGAACCAAAACTTTTCCTTCTACTGCAACACAGACAAGCACAATAACATCTTTGCCCATATCCTCTCGATAAAGTCAAAATTGTTGCTGATAAATGTTTATTTAGGTTTCATTCTAAAAAAAAAAATATTTTTGGTCATTTGTTCTGGAGCCATTTTAACTCTTTTTCTTTTCTGATTCTTTTCGACCAGATACCTAAACCCACCAAAGCTGAACGTGCCAAATGAAAAAAAGATATCCCACTCAAATAACAGTTTAGAAAAGCCTAAGACATCATGCAACTATCGACTGAATAGTTGCATGCTATTATTGCGTCCTAGATTTGAATTATCATTGTTCAACATTTTTACTGGAAGTGGCGTTACCTCTCGCTTGCCCGTTTGTTTGAGATAATGATTCCCGTCAGTCGCATTTTTGCTGGTTTCACATGAACACGATACCACCATACCGGAGTGAACGCGCCCGCAACCATCATCCCCCCTCCCCTCAGCCTCGGCGCAGTGGCGGGCGGCCCTGGGCGGCCCACTCCCGGCGCTACACTGGAAGATCTGGAAGCGGCAACCTGCACGTGCGCACGTGCAAAATGGGTCCCAACTGACTTTTGCACGGCACCCTATAAAACGGTCCCTGACCGCGTACCAAATTTGAGCGCAATCGGTCCAGCCGTTTTAACCCTCGCCGGCACAGGCCATTTTGCGTCCTTCGACGGCACAAGGGGGGGGGGGGGGGTTGGTACGACCCCCCTCGCGTTTGGCCCCTGATCGAGCTAGAGCTTCGCGGAAAAAACGAGCGTGCTGCCCGTCACGAGAGGAAGCCGATGCTTTCCCAATTTTAAGGTCCTAGGTGATCGGGTGACCTTCCAGGTCAGGTCAATGACCCGAAAACCGGGAAAATCGGGACCTGTTAGAAAGTCGTAAAGTGTGGCTGTTATGTGGTTTTCCGGGGTGCTGATCACGAATATCGTGTTAGTTTTGATCAGAGATGATGTCTTAAAGCATTTAGACCAGGTCGGGTCAGGTCAGGTCAGGTCAACCGGTAGGGGTTGTGACGGGTATTCGTAATACATGTCAACCGCCTCTGACAGCTTCGTAACATGTTACGAAGGCACCAAAACTACTTCGTAAATGTTCAAATGGTTACTAAATTCGAATTCAGCTCCAAAAACTAGCCTAGAAACATGTAAAACTCGAACAAGTGAACCGAGGTCACCCGAGGTCACCAAAGGTCAATGACCTGAACTGACCTTCAGGTGACCTTGACACCCACCCTAATGCATGTGAGCAACATCAAATCACATGTTTGAACGTTTGAAACCACAAAAAGCTTGCAAACGCGCGGCTAATGCGAGCCGACATACGCCGAATCGCGATTCCGGCCAAACATGGTCTCGGAAAAGAGGTCACAGGTCAAAGGTCATTTGGGTCAGGGTCATGAAATTTTCAGGGTAGGTGTAAAACTGATCAATGCGAGGGTACTGAAAGTTTCGTCGCGATCGGCCGCTTTTTACGCGAGTTATTCGCGAAAAACCTTAGGGGGGTTGCATCAACCCCCCCCCCCCCTGTGCCGGCGAGGGTTAAAGATCTGGTCCTGGAATCGACCCCTGCACGTGAGCACGTGCAGCAGCACCCCAACTGTGGCGCATGCAAATCTATTGCCTAGTGGGTGCCTACCTAGCACACCTTTTTGAGTTGTTCGATGGCCAATCAGCAAAACCCATTCGTCCGATCAGCACATAGGTGGCGCCAGTGAGAGGCATTCCGGCAAAACCTTCAGCATAAGGGCGAAATGGATCGCTGATCCCACTCCACAGTTCGTCAGTTGGTGTAAGATTCGTTATTCTCCATAACTAATTGAATTCCGGCAAAACCTTTGACGATTTGGATAAATGCTTCGCCATTC